TTTCCATCTTACTGCTTATCTTCAAACCCAGTTTGTTTTTGTGATTAATCACTATGCTTTAATTATGTTCAATTTGTAACAATGAAAATACATCCTGCATATCAGATATTTACATTATGATTCATAACAGTAGCAAAATTACAGTTATGAAGTAGCAACAAAAATAATTTTATGGTTGGGGGTCACCACAACATGAGGAACTGTATTAAAGGGTCGCGGCATTAGGAAGGTTGAGAACCACTGCAGTAGATGAACCACGGGGAGTCGGAAGCAATGGGTCAAGTGAGGCTGTACAGGCACGATCCTGTCCAAAGCCTCAAGCCGCCCTCAGATTCCATGTTGTTACCAAGACTTCAGCTGTGCCGTGCAGGAAAGCCCCCAGGATATCTCCCAGTTCCCTCTGGAACCTATTAGGGTCCATCTGTCACCAGGGCAGACCAACCGAATGGGTCTGGCCTCCCTGTGGAGGGGTGTGGCATAAGAGCCTCTCAGGGACACCAGGGTGTAATCTGACCATGACAAGGGGGATAATCTCACATCCCCCAAAAGTTCACATTGCCATTGACCTGACAAAAAGATTATGTCTGGTGTGTGACCACTGTCCCAGGTCGGGCCCGTGATGATCTGGTATAGGCCCATGGCCGCCATGGTGGTCATGAACTCCTGGGCTGCTCTCGAGGCTGAACCCAGGGATGGCAGGTTGAAGTCCCCCAGAACCATAAGTCTGGGAAACTCCACCGCCAGTCCTGATGTTGCAGGGATGTTGCAACACAGCAGGGAGGCTGGTATACTAGCAACAATCCCAACTGATCCTATGAGCCCAGCTTCAGAAACATGCTCTCGCAACCAGAAACTTAAGGACCAAGGCCCCTGAAGGCCAAAAGAGACTCTCTGATGACTACTGCCACCCCACCTACCCTCCGCTGGTGTCTTGGCTGGTACCAAACCCTAAACCTGGCTGGACACATCTCCGAGAGGGCTCCCCTCTTCTGGAGTCAGCCAGGTCTCAGTGATGTATGCTAGGTTGGCTCGCTCCTCCTCAATGAGATCTTGAATTGGGGGGACCTTGTTGTTAACCGACCTGGCATTCATCATCAGCAGCCGAACCTCAGGGCCTCTGAGGTTATGCTGTCCAGGAACTGGTAGTGACCTCAGGGAGCCAGAACGTACCACTGATACTATACGCATTGGGGGCGTCTTCCCCTGTAATGGCCTGCCCCCTGGCTCCTGTAGGATCCCATGCCTGTCACTACCCTGATGCATTGTCCTGCCCTATGTCCCCCAAAGTGGTCATTCTCCCTCCCCCCAAACCCCTTCCTTGAAGAGTCCAGGGGTTCTGCCATCCCCCTCCAGTCACTCTCATCCATACTCTCATAAATCGTGGGGGGATTGATGAGGGAGGAAGCCTCCATGGCACTATAGCTTAGGCTGTCAGCGCCAAGAGCTCCCCCCCCCTACAGTCCCTCCCCAACAAACACTATGCTCTGTCCCAACCTGGTCCCTCTCACTGGCCAGTCAGGGGGAGGCCCATTCATCCAAAACCCTCCACCCAGCTCTCATTCTGGGTGGGGGGCTACAAGCAACTACACAGGCACACTTACTCCAGGCTCTCACCCTAGGAGCGGACTTCCACATACCTTCAGCCCTCAGTCTCACTGTTTTGTGACCAAAACTATTGTGCCCAATGTCCATTGGATGGCCACGATTCTCCCCAAGTCTTTCCAATACCCCTCGCAAGGGCTCCTGGGTGATGGACACGGCTTCTTCAGGCTCTGCCGTAGGACGTCTCTTGGTGACTCCAGGGCCAGCTGCCGTCCTAGCATTGATGTCTGTCGCCTCAATCCCACATCCAACTCTGCCCTCGCAACTTGCCTACCACCACCACCATCCTGGTGGTCCGGCCAGGGCTCCAACCCTCATGAAGGTGTCACAGTCCGAGCCACCAAGCAGCTGGTCTTCTGTGCTGGCCCATTGGGCCGGGTGCAGTGGCCACAGCCCCTGACCAACGTCCACCACGCTGAGCGGTTAGGTTCCAAACTGCTGCCGTTTGCTCTGCCGGAAGGGTACATACGGGGGTTTAGGGACGGCTCCAAAGAGCTGCTGCTTCCAAATTACCACCAAACCGCTGGGCCTGAATGCCACCAAACAGCTGGGCCAGGTGCCAAGGCTGCTGTTCTTAACCGGCTCTTACCACGACCTGGCAGCTACACTCGAATCTGTTTCCCCAGCAAGTGCGGCTTGGATAGAAGTTTGCAGAGCCCTGGCCGTGAGCCCACAGGGCATCTCCCGATATCTCTAGGACAGTCACTGCTCCAGCCTTGGGTCCAGCTCTGTCCCTGTTGCCTCACTCTTGCCACCACCGCCATCAGTGACATCACCACAAATGAGCCAGCAAACAGCTGATTCTTTGAGCCGCTGATCGGCTGAGCCGAATGCAGCAGCTGGCAGCATCAGTTCCTAGTCAGAATTCAGTGCTAAGTAGCTGCACTTTAAGTTGCTGCCACTTCTTGCCTGGCTGCTTGTCTAGCTGGTGAGGTTCAGGGGCTTCCAGGCCAGTTAAGGGGGGAAGAGCCCCCCGCATTCTTATATTGTTCAGGGGGGACTATCAGGAGCTCCACAAACACCATCTGCTCCTGTATGCAATACTGTCATAACTAACCAAGTTTATGTAATAGTTTTCTATGTTATCCATTACCTGTTCATGTATTTGCACATACATTCAAATATATATTAACAAACAGCCTTGCAATATAATGTCGTTCACATGAGAGTTTCAAAGGAAATCTAACCACAAATACTTCTTTCAGTTCAGATAGGTAAGAAGCACAAATGCATGTTTAGCTGGAAATTAACACATTTGTATTATTTCTTGCCTAGGCAGCAGAACAAGGACGGCCTCCAGAGCATACCAGTAAATTCTATGCCAAGGGTGCTCTCCAATATCTAGTCCCAATTCTGACACAAACATTGACAAAACAGGTAGGTAATGTATATGTCTGCACCGTTCTCCAACATACAGGTAGTCCTTAGGATCAGCAACTGTTGCTAAGCGATATAGTCATTAAGTGAGACACCATGTACAACAGACTTATGATTTCACTTCTGCCCTGGTTGTTAAACAAGACATCATGTGACTGCGACTTAAGATTTCACTGCTGGCTTCTCCATTGACTGGTTGTTGGAAGCTGGCTGTGAAGCACGCAAATAGTGATCACATCACTGCAAGGTACTGCAGTGGTTGTAAACACCAGGTGCAGAATGCCTGAATCTCAATCACATGACAGCAGAAAAGCTACAACAGTTGTAGGAGATTGACTTAGTTGTAAGGTCTTCCAGCCAGATAATTGAAATCCAATTAACTTGAAGGCATCAGGTTGGAGAGGACTGGCATTATTGTGAAAAAGTTGAGAACAAACTTAAAATGTCCTGGTCTGCAGAAAGAAACGTGTGTTCTATTTTCAGGTTTTTTTTAGTTTAACCTATAACTTTTTTATACACAAAGATTCTGAAATATCTATGGTAATTCTGTGACTTAGAGATTGCATTTACTCCTAAATTGGCAATGCATAATTCTTCTTACTCATGGCCATATAGTATTCCAAAATGATTTCATGCTGTCTATTGTCTATTATGAGATTATAGTGTTCCCACCTGAAACCTAATCAGATTTATTATAAAATCAGATTTTAGCCATTTCAAATATAATAAATCTTGAATACCATTTCTTCCCATTTTTCTCTACTTAGGATGAGAGTGATGATGATGATGACTGGAACCCCTGTAAAGCAGCTGGGGTCTGCCTGATGCTTCTGGCAACCTGTTGTGAAGATGACATTGTCCCACATGTTTTGCCCTTCATTAAAGAACACATTAAAAATCCTGACTGGCGATATCGAGATGCTGCTGTCATGGCATTCGGGTGCATTTTAGAAGGCCCAGAACCTAGCCAGCTAAAACCCCTTGTCATTCAGGTGAGAGAGGCTTGTGCTAACAATGTGCCTATATTTCTTCTGAAATGAAGGCTTACAAGCTGTAGATAACTGGTTTGTAAATATATTAATTATATGTCTCTTTTTTACTAAAATATTCCATAATCTGAAAATAACAAGGACCTGAGAAACAAGGCTGCAAAATTGTTGCCTTGAGTGGGGTGTGATGCACTTGAGAATACTCTGGTTTGTGTGACAAGGCATCTGGCAGTAAATTGTTTGAGCCAGATAAATACTAAATGTAGAAATTAAAGTGTGAGATGAATAGACTCCATCAAATTTGTCTGGGAGAAAGCAACTTAGTCTGTTGCAATACATGTAGGTTCTTATGGTCTGTGGAACGCAGATTTCACTGCCAGGAGTTCCTTGTTGAAAACATCATAGTTTTGTTCTGGGGTGGTTAAAGCTCTTGAGAAAAAGGCACAGGGCAACAAACTGTTTCCCTCCTTGCAGTCTTGGAGAAGAACAGCTCCAATGGTGACATCTGAGGCATCCACGTGAACCACAAACCTCTTTGATGGATCAAGATGCTGAAGGAGGGGTTGCTGGGCAAAAAGTTGCTTTAACTCTTCAAATACTGTCTGGTGTGTAGCAGCAGTCCAAGCAAACCTAACCCCTTTCTTTGTGAGTTGGGTAAGAGTATTAACCTTGCGAGCAAAGCCAGAGATACATTTTCTGCAGAAGTTAGTGAAGCCCCAGAAGCGTTGGATATCTTTGGCAGTGTGTGGGGCTTGCCATTCTAGTACAGCTCTGACTTTCTGGGGGTTCATCTGTATACTGTTTATGGAGATACAGTACCCTCAAAAGCGTTAACTGTTTCAGATCAAATGGACATTTTTCTGATTTGGCAAAGAGATGGTTGTCTCTGAATCTAGTGAGGACTATCTGGACATGTTCTGTGTGCTGTGATTCAGGGGACCACAGTGTATTCAAACTTGTCATACCTGGCATTTAAGTTGGTTAAGTATTCATGGCCCTCTTTGATTCTAATCAGATTGTAAGCATTGAAAAGGTCCAATCTGGAGAAAATGCATGCCTTTTGTAGTCTATCCCAAAGGTCTGAAATGAGTGGTAGTGGGTAGTGGTTTCTGACTGTCACCAAATTCAGGGCTTGGAAATTGTGGACTACGTGAAGGGGGGTTCCCACTCACACTTGAGGCATTAGGGTCTTGCTTTGGGGGGACAAAAAAGGTTGGCACTGAATCTGGTGATTTCAAAGGTCAAAGAAAGCCTTTTTGCAAGTTAGAGTCCAAATATAGCTTCAAGGTTGTTAGCTCATTAGCTGACATTGGGTAGTGCCTTTTGGCAGGTATTTTCACACTCGGGAGCAGGTCTATGGCATGGTTGCAGTCTCTGTGTGGGGGAAGAACTGCTGCTTCCTCCTCCCAAAAAACATCTTGAAAGTCTGTGTACTTGCTTGGGAGATTAGGAATCTCCCTGCTAGTCTTCATGGGTGACTGGTGGGGTGTTTTGGACAGACAATTTCAATGAGGTAGGCAATCAGGGTTGTTAAAAGAAAGTTACTGTTTCTTCCATTTAATCATGGGGTTGTGAAGTAGCATCCAATTGAATCCTAAGACTGGGAAGGTCCAGATGGTTAGTCATGAAAAGGGTTAATGTCTCTGAGTGGTTGCCCATGGTTAATTGCAGAGAGAGGGTGGAATGTGTAATAGGACCCGCTTTCAAAACTGGCCATCAATAGTTTTTACTTGAAAGTGGAACTTCAAGGGAACCATCGGAATGTTCGGCTCCTCTGCTGTTGCCATGTTTATAACATTAGCTGTTGCTCCTAAATCTATCAGGGCAGGTAAGATTACTTCCCAATTGGAGGGGAGGGAGAGAACAGAGTCAATGCGTAACAATGTACCTTGGTGAGGTTGTGTGCAAGCCCCTTTCAAAGCTTGGTGAACCCCTCCTGTGACCTCTTGCGGGAGGTGCTGTCACCATTTCCCTGGTCTTGGAGTTTACAGTCCAGGCAGTTGGTAGTGAAGGAGTTGTTGGGACATTTATCTTCCCTCTTGGGTGGTTTTGAAGGGCAGTCCTTGACCATGTTTCTGGGTTCTCCACAGTAGAAACAGAGAGCTAACTCCCTGTGTCTTCCGTTCTTCCATGGCTGGGGCTTGTCTGGCTGCTGCAATTTGCATTGGTTCTATGTACTATGTCAGGAACAGTTGGGGTGCATGGGGGTGGAGACGGGACCAGGTAGCTGAGGAGGTGGTAGGTAGTGATGGCTGGAGCAAGCTCGGGTTTCCGGCAAAACGTGATTCAATTGTTATGGAGGCTATGTAGATTTCATCCAGTGTATGGGGAGCTCTGCAGGATGAGTTTGTTAGCAATCTTGTCGTTCAGACCATGTCTGAACTGTGAAATCAAGGATGGCTCATTCCAATCCAAATCAGCGGCAAGCAATTTGAATTCTTCAATGTAAGATCTCACTGTGCTGTTGCCTTGGCAAAGCTGGTGGAGTTGTTGAGCAATGGTTTCTTCTTGTAAGGGGTCACCAAAGTGTTGTCCAAAACTGGCTAGAAAGTTTTGGAAGTTATCCAGGTCTGGGTCATTGTGTTCGATGAGGGGAAGAGACCATCTGGCGATAGAAGCAGTGAGGAGGCTGAGAATGGGAGATACCTGTGATCTGTTTGTCAGGAACTCCCCTGGTCATGTGCAGATGAAGATATTGCACTGAGCAAGGAAGGTTCTCATCTTGGTTGAGTCTCCTGTAAAACTCTCTAATAAACAGCTAGGAGTTTTGGGGAGAAGCACACCGGCTGCTAGTATCGGAGCTGGTTCCCACATACCTTCTCCCCCCCCCCCGTTCCCCTTGTGCCTTTTCTCCCTTACCGGGTCCCCACATGGCTTGGGCCTCCTCCCCACCACCCATCTTGCAGCACTCCAGAGTTCTTCAAAAGGTAAGTGTGCAGTGGGTGACAGGGTGGGGAAGAGGTCCAAGCCCTTCAGGGACCTGATGGGGGAGATGGAGGAAAGATAGGTGGGGGGAATGTTGCAGCACCTCTGCGGTCTGTCGTAAAGATGAACAACTGCGGGGAGCGCTGCATCAGCCATAACTTTGGGACCAGTAGCTTTGGGGGTGAGTGTCTGCTGTAACTTCAACCAGTCGTTAAGCGAGGACTACCTGTACTGTAAATGCTTACATTTAACTAGCTGCATACAGGTAGTGCTTTTTAGTGACTTTTTTAGCAACTGTTCACAATTATGACAGTGATGAAAAAGTAACTCCTCACATTTATGACCTTTGCAGGTCTGTAAAGCAAAGGAAAGCTGAAGCACAGTTGCAGTTTCAATTAGCGACTGCTTGGTTTAACAACCAAGTTGCCAGTCCTAACTGTGATTGCTAAACAAGGACTACCTTTAATATGTAATATATATGTCAGTCATTCTTGCTTAAATTAAGTCAAATTTCTGTTATGAATATATACTGTTACTTTTGTGATTACTGTATGTTCTCCATAAGTCCCAGTCTGATTTCAGTAACACATCTCTTTTCTGGTATTGTGCTAAGTTTGCCCTTGCAGCCATGAACTTAGTAATTTTTGATATATTTTAATATATATCTTGGAATAATTCCTAGTAAAAATGTGGTTTCATTTCACATTTGATTTCTAAAATTTTATGAATAGTGCTGTGTATTTCTTTCCAGTACTTCAAAGTACTGGAAAGTCACAACCTGGGGATGGTTGGCACATTGACAGCCTTCCCTGTCTTTTAAATTTTAACTTATATTATCCTTGTTTTTATCTGACTCCTTTTATTGATGTATCATGTTTTATATGGTTTTTAGGTTGTTATATGCTTTTAACTGTACACTGCCCAGAGTGTCTCTGTGTGTTATGACCCAGGTCACCTAGGCAGAGGCAGGCTTCTATAGAGTCCTTTATTGCTCTGCTAATTCCACAACAAATGGCTCTGCTCCACCCCAAACTTCCCTGAAGGCAGCCACCCACAGTTCCACAAACAAAGCCAGTAATCACCAGAGCCAAATTGCAAATGCAGAGAGGAAGTCCAAAAACAAGGTGCAAGTCCACAAAGCAAGGTCCGTAAGTTGTACATAAGATTCCAGGTCCACAGGGCAAGGACAAGAGTCCACAAGCAAGGGTCAAATTCCACAGGCAGAAACAGGATTCAAGGCAGTTTTTCCAAGGCCAGGGAAGTACATGCCAAAGGAAAACAAAACAAAACAATTGTTCCTGACAACCTCCCCCGGTCTCTGCTTAAGTCAACCTAAGCCAGGTGTTCCTCGTGAGGAGGGGCAGGGTGACCTTCTCTCAAGCAGCCTTGCAAACCTCCTTTGAGCTTGCCTCCGCTCTACTCTCTGTGCCCTCAGATCAAGTGGGGGAGGCAGCTGTTCCTCATCAGAAGGGATCTGCTGCCTCTCACCACTGCCTGTCTACAGCCGATCCTCCCTCATGTTTGTGAGGGCAGGCAGCTCCCTGTCCGGCTGACCACCTCCCCCAATGCCTGAGGGGCCTGGGACAGCATTGTCCTCAGCCCCTGACCTCTCCAAACATTCCAGGGGAGACTTGCCATCCCCGTCTGATGGTCCCGATGGGGCCATGACACTGTGAGTGAGATGGGTGGTATCTAAATTTGGCAAATAAATGTCCACAACATATGGTGAGAGGCTTTTTCTCCCCTCTATACTACAGTACTGCCATCTTTAGTATTATACCAGTGTCTTCCCTCTATACTTGTATTCTACCCTCAGACATGCCTTCACTTTGCTTGGTTATTAATAACTAATCCCAGTACCCTGCATATTAGATGCTAATATTCAGTGTTTGATTGCATATTGTTTAAGGTTCATTAAGTTACTCTGCGTGCTAGTTTTGTTATGCAAAAGCAGTACTACATTGTTAAATTGGTTCAAGTTCGCTTGTTGAATATTTCATGGCAAACCAGTGAACTTGAGTATCTATCTTTATGTGATATATTTTAGTCACAATATTGTATTATTCAATATTTTAGGGTAACTCCTACTAGAATAGCATATTGATTCCATTTTAAATATACATGGGTCTGAACCCAGAACATAACATACCTTACAACTTGCCTGGCTTGGGATCTAATTGAGCCCTTTTGGTTGAAGGGACAAATTGAAAACATAAGGGTTTTGAAAAGTGCCTTGAATATTATCTAAGACATAAGATGTCTAGAACGGATTGACTTAATGGGCCATTTATCTCCTAGGCTATGCCTACTCTTATAGAGTTAATGAAGGATCCCAGCGTAGTAGTCAGAGATACAACTGCGTGGACTGTGGGTCGGATTTGCGAGCTGCTACCTGAAGCAGCCATAAATGATATTTACCTCACTCCATTGCTGCAGTGTCTAATTGAAGGCTTGAGTGCAGAGCCAAGAGTGGCCTCCAATGTCTGCTGGGTAAGTCAGAATCTTTATTCTGAATAGACATTTGAGTGCTGGATAAATTAGAAAAAAGGCTTATGGTTTAGAACAGGGCTTTTCAACCTTTTCACCCATTGTACCACTTTTAGGATATGGCAATATCCAAGTACCACCAGTCACCTAGGAAGGTGTCAAAAGCTTGATGACCCCCCCCCCAAAAAGGAAAAAAGTGATAAAGTACAGGTAGTCCTCGGCTTACAACAGTTTGCTTAGTGACTGTTCGAAGTTACAATGGCACTGAAAAAAGTGCCCCCCAAGCCACAGCCGAGCAAGACACCTGCCTGCCCACCTGGCGGTGCTCTTCCTTCTGTCCGAGGTTTTCATTGTTGTGAGCATTTCTGTCGAGGATTGGCAGCGGGGGT